ACCTTGCTAACAAAGTAGATAGGCCTCTGCACTCCATCTTCTCTAATCAACACTGAACTAATTACCTCGTCCCTGGCCGAGAGGTACAGGTACAACACGTCTCCTGGAAGTGGTTGAGTGAGTAGGGGAGGCGAGGCAATGTAGGAATTTATCTCTTCAAAGGCATGCTGACACTCTTCTGTCCACTGGAAGTCTTTCAACTTCTTGATGGCCAGGAAAAAAGGTAGAATACGATCGGCTTTCGACACGAAATGACTAAAGGCGGCCACTTAACCGGTAAGTCTCTGAGTCTCCTTGATTGATCGAGGTGGTGCCATGTTAAGGATAGCCCGAATCTTTTCTAAGTTGGCCTCTATGCCCCACAACGTAACGATGAAACCTAGGAATTTACCCAAGGTGATGCTGAAGGCACACTTGCTGGGATTGAGCTTCATGTTATACTTTGACAAGGTGTCAAAAGTCTTGGCCAGGTCCGAGGTGTGTTGGTCGGCTTTTAGGCATTTTACAACCATGTTGTACACATAAGCTTCGATGTTTCTTCTCCCCATTTGGTCCTTGAAGACCTTGTTCACTAGATGTTGGTAGGTGGCCCCAGTGTTCTTGAGGCCGAAGGGCATGACCTTGTAACAGTATGTGTTGTACTCGGTGATGAACAAAGACTTCTCCTCGTCCTAGGGGTGCATTTTAATATGGTTATACCCAGAGAAGGCATCTATAAAGCTGAGTAGATCGTACATTGCAGTGGCGTCGACGAGGTGATCTATTCTTGGCAAAGGAAAACTGTCTTTGGGGCAGGCTCTGTTGAGGTCTGTAAAGTCAATACAAATCCACCACTTCCCATTAGCTTTTTTTACTATAACCACAGTGGACAACCAATTAGGGTAATATACCTATCGGATGAAGTCGGCGTCGAGTAGTTTGTCAACCTCCTCTCCTATGGCTCTCTATCGTTCTGGTGCAAAGTTCTTCTTCTACCGAATTAGCCTAGAGCTCGGGTCCAAGCTCAACCTGTGAGTAATGACCAAAGGGTCAATTTCGGGCATGTTAGCAGCAAACCAAGCAAAGACGTTGGCATTAACTTTGAGAAAACTTACCAGTTCAGAAAGGCTGTTTGGAGGAAGTTTGGACCCGACGTGCACCGTTTTCTCGAGCTCGACCTCATCTAGGTGAACCAAGACTAGGTCCTCGGCTGGTTGGCCTTGGCTCACTAGCTCCTCCTTGAGGTTGAGGCCCTCCAACGGTAAAACTTCTTTATTCTTTCCCTTTAGTGTTGCAACATAGCACTACCAGGCAATTTGTTGGTCCCCCCGGACGAATCCGACGCCATGTTCAATGGGGAACTTCAGAGCGAGGTGGTAAGAGGAGATGGATGCCTTGAGCGAGTGGAGGATTGACCGCTTGATGATGGCATTGTAGGGGGAGTCGATCCTCACGACCAGGAACTCATTCATCCTCGTTACTTGCTGGGGTTCTGTCCCTATCGTGACTTGTAGAGTGATCATTCCCTCCGGTTTGACAACGTTCTTGGAGAAGCCGATGACTAGCACATCGATGGGCTAGAGGCGCTCGGGTGCCAACTTCATCTTCTCGTAGGCATTGTAGAAGAGGATGTCAGTTGAGGAACTACTACCGACTATATCCTCCTCATCATGAAATTTGCGACGGCGGCCGAAACTACTAGAGCATCGTCATGGGGGACCAAGATCCCCTTCAAGTCTTGGTTCGTAAAGGTGAGGGCTTCGTTTTGCTTCGACTTCTTGAGAGCTGGCCCTTGGATGTTTAGCTGTCTAGTGTAGGTCTTTCGGGCTGAGGCCGAGGCGCCACCCGAGGTCATGCCCCCGATGACACCCTCTAACTATTGTTGTTGCTATGAGGACGAGGCATCGACCTCACCGCCCAAGTACTGCTTTAAGTGGCTGCAGCGGATGAGAGACTTGATCTCATTCTTTAAGTCATAGCAATCCTCCATGTCATGGTTGGTGTCGCGGTGGTATTTGCAATATTTTTTGGGATTAACCCTCTTGGGGTTCCTCTTCATCTTCTCAGGCCACTTCATATACTCCTCCTTCCCTACTTGCATGAGGATTTGTGTTCGAGTGGAGTTGAGTGGCGTGTATTTGTTATAATCTAGGGTCGAGGCCAATGGCTTCTTGTTGTCCTTATTGATGTTGTTGTTGTTGTTGTCGTTACGACCGTCTCCATTTCTCCTCTTTTTCTCCAAGCCTTCGTGGCGGTGGTCGGCCTCTCCATCCTGGCGGTCGCTGGCCGAGGCTTCCTCGGCATTTATGTACTTCTAGGCTTTTTTCAAAAACTCCACCTTGGATTTGGGTAGGGTCTTGGCAACAGAGCATTTGAGGGCCGAGCTTGACAGGAGGCCGTTGATGGCTACATGCATGGAGACCATGGTGTTGAGGTCTCGGACCTCGAGCTCCTCATTCTTGAAGCGGTCAAAGTAGGACCGCAGGCTCTCGCCACGCTTTTGCCAAACGATCATGAGTGAGATGATGCTCTTCTGGCACCGTCGGCTACTGATGAAATGAGCGAGGAAGAGACTAGCAAACTGCTCCCACAAGCTAATGGATTGAGGGGGGAGCCTAAAAAACCATTGGTGGTCTACCCACTTAATGGTTGCCTGGAAGGCCCGACATGTCAAGGTGTTGAAGTACCCATAGAGGAGCATGAGTGCCTTGAAGCTTTCTAGGTGGTCATTTGGGCCAGACATCGTACGTCTCCAGTAGTGGAGCTTTGAAATGCGGCGGGAGGGGTTTCGAGGTGATGTTAGCAGTGAAAGCGTCCATTTTCCTAGACGAAGGGTTCTAGCTTGTCGAGGCATCGGCTTGGCTCTCCTTAACCTGGTAGAGTTCATCTTTGACGGTGCTGAGTTGTGCCTGTAAATCGACGATCTTCTGGTCGATGGGGGCCTGGGCCCCGTCTTGGTTCTCCTGGACGCAGAATGGGTTGTTCTTGTTCCTTGAGTATTCTGATGCGGGTACATTTCAAATCCTTTTGGCCCACCGATCATTTAGGAGCTCTTAGAGGTCCAAGAGGCGCGACGTCGACCCTCAGCCCTCGAAGGGGGGCTGTGGTGGCCCGATTGCCCACCTTCGTCTCGGGGATATTAATGCCGAATTTTTCGGGGAACACATCTCGCAGGTCGCCACCTGGACCTTAATCACGCCAGCACGCCCTCAAGGGAGGTCGCTCCTTACATCGAGGTCACTTCGGCCAGTGACGAGGTGCTGCAGGTTGGCCCTGGATGATGTGATTCTAGCCGACCTGAATTGTGGTCGAGGTCGCCAGGCCGGCGCCTGTGCTAGGTCACCAGTTCGGCACCTGTGCCAGGCCGCCAGGTCGACGCCTGTGCCAGGTCACCATCATCTTGGCTAAGTTATTGGCTAAATGATTCTAGGTGTCACTCAGTTGTTTCGATATACCACATGCCACAATGTCCTTGGAGGGCTAAATCCGCCCTCATCAAATTATAAAGTCCAATCAGTCCGAGTCTGGATCGCTCATCACAGAGTACTCCTAACAGATTTTCTAATGCAAAATGGGATGCGACTTCGAGGTCGGTGTGAGGAGCGCTTTTGAGAAGGAGATCCCAATTCTTCTTTCCGTGTGGATTTCAAATACTTTATTGAATTTTGACTGACGTGGGATATTATGATTGGTTCCACAGCCCCATTAATAGCCATTGCCTTCAGCAAATTGGTACCTTGCACTGTTCCACATGAGCTATTTGCCTATATGTGTTGATAAGTGGCCTATTTGCTCAGTAAGTCGGAGAATCTAGACAAAATGCTGCTGTTAAGCAATTGAAGCGGACAGCCAGCCTTTCAATTGGCAGAGGGATAGCCAATTTGGCGCTATAGATTTTTTTTACCAAATACAGCTTATATAAAGACCGTCCGTATGGGCCCCACATGTAGAAAACTATAAGCCGTTGTTCTTCTACCCTCCCAAACGGACTAGGATTTTGCCACGTTAAATCACAGGTGACTCACCCTCGGAGGACGCTCAAATTTTCGCGGCTGCTCGCTGCTTCTTCCTGTTCCCTTTAAACCGAAGTCACTCCTGTCCCATCTCATAACGCATGACAGGTGAAATAAAAATAAAAGAAAAGAAAAGAAAGGGAATATGTGAAATAAGGAGTTGTTTAGTAAACAACGAATTAATGCAACTCTTTTATTTGATTTTGCTGCGACAGACAAGGTGGATGTAACACAAATAATTTGTCGGGAGTGGATCTCTTCCTGAGCACATCACAGCTTTAAGCTACTTATCGGCAACACTTGCATAAGATGCATTTATACATATTGATCTTTTGAAAACTCTCATATGTAAACGACAGGTGGCATCAATCTAATGCTATGATGTGCTAAAGTTGTTGTACTTTGTCACTAGTAGATCCATTATCCAATTTGTGTGTTTTTTCGTGGGTCCCACCATAGTTGTAAGGAAAGAATGAAAGATTCTAATTTCTAAAGAGTTGCATAAACTGGTTTGTTAGAATTGCTCGAATGGAAAATCCCTTTGTTTCAGAATTCAGAAATGTATTTCATCTTCACTCTTTAGGCTGTGTTTGATTGTAGTGCAATTTTATTTATAAGAGTGCAAATGTAAAAAATGCAAATCATCATTTAATTTAATTTTATATTATTTTATGTTTTAATTTATTTTAGTTGTATTGCAAATAAACAAAATAAATTAAAATTTGAAACAAAATTAGATCAAAGTTTATACTGCACTGCCATAGTTCTGCAACAGTATAAATTTATTTGCATTGCAATCAAACACAGCCTTAGTAACAAAAAATATATACATCAAAATGTATAATAGAATATGTAAAGTAGTTGTACAATTCAAGGGTGTAGTGGGAATTCAGGTAAATTTTGAGGGATGATATCGTAATTAGGATACTAATATTAAATGGGAAAAGTAATTACGTGTCATCCTGGGGTGAAGCGGGGTTAGATACTTTAGATAAAAAGGCTCCATCGAAGCGGAGATTGCCGCGGCCAAAGTGCCAAACCCTCACCAGGGCCTCAGCCCCTCAACTCGGTCACTCACTCTCTTCCTCTCCCTCCCTCTCTCTCTCTCTCGGATCAATACTCGGTACCCAAACCCCCATTTCCCGAATACAAAAAGAAAATAAACGAAGAAACAAGGAGATAGAATCAGTAGATGTAGATCTCACTTCTCTTCTCCGCCATCTTCCCTTTCTCAAGCCCCTCCGGAGTAAGCATAACAGGAAACTTTGGTCATTTTCACCGCTCGGTTTCTGTCTAGAATCGGACGCCATGGGACCCGGCGAGACGATATTCCGGTCGCCACTCGATAAACCCCTCGACCAACTCACAGAAGAAGACATCTCCCAGCTCACGCGTGAAGATTGCAGGCGCTACCTCAAAGAAAAAGGTCTCATTTTTCTTTTCTCTCTTTTTTTACTTTTTTACTTCACTTGTTTCTTCTTCTTCTTCCCTGTTTTTCCGGTGGCGGAAGACATAGGTACTGAAATTTGGGAAAGAAGGCATAACATTACCGGCACGTGCCCGTGTCTCCTACTGTGTGTACAGGCATGCGTCGTCCTTCGTGGAACAAATCTCAGGCAATCCAGCAAGTAATCTCGCTCAAGTCGCTGCTTGAGACGAGGACTGATTCCGGTGCCGGAATCCGGCAAAAGTTGGTTTCCAAGGCAGTAGATGATCTACCCCACGTGAGTATTTCGAAGCATTTTACGTCTCTCCTTCCCTTCTTCTTCTTGAAGTGTTGTCAGCATATTAAAATAAAATAAGAATATATTAACTAATCAATCAATAAATAAATATTGTAGCTCCCTACAACTCCCACCGAGTCGCCCAAAGAAACGAGCGCCGACTTCCAGGTTTCTGTATCGGCAGATGAATCGGTTTCGTTTCGGCGAGAAGACCCCCCCAAACCCGCGGTTTCCGGTGATGTATCGTGCCGTCTCCCGGTGGCGGACAATGACACCACTTCTACCAGGTTTCCTCTTCACCGTCATTATTCTGTCTGTTTTGGTCTTTTTGTGGTTTTGCTAACGTGCGCCGGCCATGTTCATGTGCATCCGGCTAGCGATTAACCCGGAGAGAAGCCATACAAACCTGAAACCTCCTCTATTGGAAGATATTCTTTGTTCTCCACACACTTGTATCTCCCTTCAATCTTTCCCGCCAGCACATGTTCAGTCTTTCTGAACGATTTCGCTAATAGTAATATGCGCCGGGACATCTAATTCCTTGACATCTCTATTCGCTAATTGCAGTTCTCTGGTGTTGTGCACATTCAGGAAGAAGATCAACGATCAAGGTTTTAATATTTCCGTATGCAGACCCGGTGTTAACTAGAATTAGTTAATGTACTTGCTCTGAACAAAAAACAAAATAAAAATACTACCAAAAAGAACAGAAGAATTTGGAAGTAATTTAATGGCATGTTTTTTACACCGTAGATTGCTTGGCATATGCTGCTAACTTATGGAATAGTAAGATTCATTGCAAAATTGTCATTTACTGGTTTCAAATGGGTGTAAAATAGAAAAAGAAAAGGCATTGCAAATTTTCCATTTACTCATCACATAACATTATTGAATAGGTTGTAAGATTAACTACCAATAATCACGATGCTAGCTAGTTGCAAGGGCAGTAATGTAGGACAACCCAGTTTGAGGTTGCCTTCTTGTAAAGACTCTACTAGCCAAAAGTTAGTTTGGTTGTATTGGTCTTCAATATGTTCAAGAAGGTTAAAACTGAGTTTTGTCAAAATGGGGTTGGAAGCTAGGGTTATGACTAGTTCCAGAACTAAGACTGGGGTTTCATAGGGGCAGATTTTAGGTAGCTTACTTGCAATTTTAAAGGGGTTACTAGGATTATTAACTAGTGTAGAGTCCAATTGCATAAGCAAAAGAAAGAAAAATGAAAAACTATGCCTTATGCCAACTATTTTGGTTCACTGGGTCATCATCTAAGCCTTCTCTTAACCCTATGGGGTTGGCTACATGAATCCTGCTTTGTCAATCTGTTCTGTACGATGCCATATCCATTGTCAAATTATGGGCACTTAAATCATTTATTACTACTTCCACCCCAGTCCTTTACAGTCTGAGGCAATGTCTTAGGATCTCCTGATGCCAGAAGGATAGCCTATGGGTGTAATTATTAGGCCTCATGAGATATCACTATTTCAAGAGAAAAAAAAAGAGTTAAATGAGAATAACTGCAAGCGCATGCAAAAGATGAATATATTTTGATATGAGAAAAATCAATAGATAATCATCATATAAACAAGGACCTCATACTGATGTATATATTTTGTAGAAGTCCTCCTACACTATTTAAGAAGCTCTTTATGTAAATCAAAACCAGTATGTTCTCAGAAATATTACAGTTTATTTTTAACTAGCTGTTATGATGATAGCCTTACTTCAATTAATGCATGAAACACATGTTATTGACACAAGGAACCTCAAGGTGTGACACGTGCATTATAGTTTTAAGCGTGAGTTTCCATCTTGAACCTCAGGGTAAGCCTCTCCTTGAGATGTGTCTCAAAGCATAAGTCACAGATTCCTTATTGATTGAAACCTAACCAAAATATTTGGCTTTCAGAAATTCTAACATTTTAGTATTTTATAAAGGGCCATATGCTTCGTCTTGAAAAGCAAAAGCTGAGAAGATACTGCTAACTGGTTCAGTTGGTAAGGTCTCCGGCTGGTTGTAGCGGAGGTTGGGGGGTATGGTAGAGGGATGGGTTAACTGTATTTGAATAAGAGTCAACATCATACTTGATGAAGTGCTAGGTGGCATCACTCAGGCCAAATTATTATATTGAGCAACAGTTAGACATGTGTACTGATACCATTACTGTCATGGTGGCGTATTAGACTGGGTTCTTCCTAATAGCAGTACAATTAAGTTTATCTTTAATAGTTGTTCTTTGTGTAATCCAGGACTGTAAGGTTTGGTGATGTTTTGAAGAACATTTAGTGACTCGTTCTTTTGATCTTCTCAAGCCCTGTAAGGTCTGGTGATGTTTTCAGGATGGAATGGAATTGTGGTTGAAGGAGACTGTTACATGGTAATTAAGTCTTCAAATGTGTGAGGTTCTTGGAGTCTCCAGTTTATTGTTAGATAGTCTAGAGCATTAGCTTCCAGCTTGAATAACTCATTCAAGTGAATTCTTAGATAAGAAATGCTCTGGACCTCTGGTAGCCCTCTTAACGAAGGATGTCATTGTCAGGTTTAATTATTATGGAGGGCATCTGTCCCAGGGGTTAATCAACATCTCTAATATGATGTAACTGCTGTTTATTGTTGTCACTTTGTCAGCTCTATGCTGTTGTATATGGTTTTATTCATTTCTGTATATTGCCACAGCATGGTTTATATTGTCATTTGAATCTGTTTGATCATGCTATTAATTGAAAAAATTGATGGCTTTTTAGTTTTACACTATAGAGAGGAGTCTAGAGATTTCTGCATTAATGATGTGGTTAGAGAGAGAGAGAGAGAGCTTCGTTCATCTAATAGACAGCTAATTTATCAAAATTGGTTTGATCAGTGCAAGGAGAAGGCAAGTTGTTAAAAAAAATGGTTGCTTATTAGTTTTACACTAGAGAGGGCAGAGGAGTTAAGAGATTTCTCCGCTAATGATATCCCCATGTGGGGCCAATGAACATTGAATCAAGAAAGCTGTGTGTTTGCATGCCATTGTCCTGATATTGTGCTTATAATAGCACCTTCAGTTATACTTATCCATAAAGTACCCAATTGTGTAGGCATTCAATTATTCTATGTATAATTTTATCTGATGAGTCAACAAGTTATCTACTTCTTCCCAAGAAGAAAAGGTCAACAAGGTATCTGAATTGCACTGTCAAACCTAGCTATTTATGGATTTTTTATGGATAACTTAAAGATTCTATTAATAGTGAGAAAAATAAGTTGAATGCACAATATGCCCAACATCTCCTTTACAACTAGGCTGATATCAGCCTTCTAACCCCAAATCTTGGTTTTTACAGTTATCCTATTAGTATACCCCAAAATAACTTTTCCCTGTGTAATCCCATTTTGGCTAAAGTGTCAACAAGCCCATTGGCTGATCTTTGAACCTATACATCTGTAATGTTTGCCTCCCTTGTCAAACACTTGATTTCCCTTAAAATCAGATTGCGCTGTCAATGTTCTTGTTTTTGTTCTCTAAGCCAGCTCACTGCCACTCTAGTGTAACCTTCCACTTGAATTTAAAGATTTTGCTGACCTGTCTTGCAAAGCTGCAAATGGTTCAGTCTCAATGAAAGTTTCCAAGCCTAATGGCCCAGATTATATTGCTAGAATTATTCTGTACTCATCTCCAAAAAATCTCCCAATGATAGAGAAGCCCGGATTACAAGCTACATGCATCAGAATTTAAAACTAGCTATTTATTTGGACAGAAAGAAACAAAATACTTGTTCAAAATCTGTCCAAAGAACCAGATGATCTGATTGCTTTTTCATTTGGAAAATTGCTTTCCTGGGTTTCAGCTGTAAAGGGGATTTGGGTTTCTCTTCTCGGGGCAAGGTTGTCCTCTGAGAATTTGTGGAATTTGTAATGTTGTATGATATTACCTAAAAAATTGGTTTTTGGGGGATCCTCTTGTATTATTACATCATCTTTAATAAAATTACCTTACCTCTTTTCAAAAAAAAAAAGAAACTTTTTATTTATGGCTGTCCAAAGAGAAGAAGAGGCAGAAGAGGAGGGAGTAGGCAGATTTTTGGCCTCAAACTGATGAAAGTTTAGGATATATATTTTTGGGATATGGTCCACCTATTTTGATGGTTTTGAAAATTGTGATGTCATCTGTTAGTTGGTAGCTGATTATTTCAAACATCAAGGTTTTGGTAGTATAGTTTAAACAGGATTACTGCTTGTATTTTAACAGCAATAAATTATGGTCTCCATCAAATACATGAAATTAGATTAGATATGTTGTTCTACCCCTTCCCACCACCCCCTTCTGGAAAAGGATTAAACATGTAGAGATAAGTTGATGCATGATCCACTATTGCAAATGACTCTCTTGTGGATGGCTCAACTGTAACCAAGTTTAATTGAACAAATGTGGTACTTCATTAAGTTGGCAGAATTTTGATGAAGGTGGCTTTTGATTCATGGTCCTAGCCTTGTAGGACCACTTTTAGGGAGGATATAATGCTTTTTTTTAAGATTTAGGGAGGGTATAAAGCATGCTTGCCAGAAAATATATTTTAGAAGCAATTGTATTTTTTTTTCTTACAATCCAGAAGTGGGTCTGAGATAGCAAACAAAGTTCTAATAGTCTTATCATTAAAGGGAAAAGGAAAGGTTATGCTTTCAAGATATAACTAATTAGGAATTGCTAGTTACGAAGTTTTGCAATCCCCAGTGAAGGAAGACAGTCATGTTAAGTTGGCAGCCAGACAACTTCTAAAATATCATTGAAGGCAACACCAATGGAAATGCCTAGATGACAAGTGCGTGCAACTTAGTGACTAGTTTCCTGTTACCCAATAATTTTTATCTCAATGAACACAGATATTGTTTATTTCTTCTTGTTTTCATTTCTGTTCTGAGTTTAGTTTCCCATGCTAGCAACTATCTGAGAATAAAATCGCTCAAATGCTAATTACTTTAGGAAATGGTACTGTAGAAATGTCTTCTTAACATGAATGGGATTTTGATTCATGAATTTGTGTTTGAACCAGAAATATTCTTTAATTGAGTCAAATGCATATGAGGATGTAAGTTGGGAGGTCCTATTAAATATAAGAAATATGAGAGAAGGATTTTTGTTGATGGAGAGATTCTTCCAGGGTTGGTGTCTCAAAGCAATTGAACAATCATAATAACCATATAGAAAATTAAAGTGCATCTTTGGTGGTTAGAAAATGAAAATACAATTGTACAAATAGAGATGCGTAATTCTGATTCTATATTCCTTTGCATAGGTAGATGTTAAAAGCCATCCAATTCCACTAGTAACTTAGCATGATTTTAAGTTTTCTTCTTCCATATGGAGTTTGGAGTAGCTGATTTTCCTTTTCCTCGAGAGCTACATCATGTGCTTCATAATACCCATTGAGATTGCAGATGATAGCACATAGCTGGAAATTCTATGTTATTATTATTATTTTGATAATTGGAAAATCTATGATTGAAGGCTGAAGTTTTGGCATTAGTACAAGGGTTAAAGTTAGCCAAACAGTTAGGATACAGACATGTTGAGGTGGAAGGGGACTCAAAAGTAGTAATTTCTTGGGTGGCAAACATCAGCCATACCCCGTGGATGTTTAAACATGTGATTAGGGAAGTGGAAAAGATGCAAAGGAGGTTGAGGCTGAATTTAAATGGGTCCGAAGAAGTGCAAATGGACTAGCTGATGTTTTAGCAAAACAGGGGGCATTGAGACAGCAACTATTTTGAGCTGCACTGTAATGAGGGATAGAATAGAGTGATTAAAGGGATCAACAGTCCCATCACCAAGTTGTATAAACTGTTTACAATCTGAAATTTAATAAAATACATGTTTACTGATAAAATACTCTAGTTTGAGAGTATGTTTATGGATGCGATTCATGATAGGTTTTGATGCCACCTGTGATTAGTGCAGAAGATAAAATAACTATTGAGTTTATTCTTATGTGCAAAGCAGTATATGGCCATTATTTAATATTCTGTGCACACTTTCTGGTTGCTTTACAGATGTTTAAATTTTGGTTGTTTTTAACCTAGTTATATCAAGACTAAGCTTGGTGAGTTCAAGTTAAGGTTCCTGTTGACTGTATAGCGTTGTTTCTTAGCTTGCGCAAGTGGCTAGAGTTGTTCTGCAAGTACAACCCCATCTTATCTATAGAAAAAAGAACATAAGTATTTATGGTAGTATACTGTAAATGCAATGTTTCCTGTAGTCAGTGAAGATATCTGGAATGTGGAAGACCCTACAACACCATGGACTGGATGTTTAAGACAAATACAAAGAATAATTGCCATATTTGAAGAACTACATAATTGATATCAGATAAACTTGATAATTGTTGGACAGTGTATGCCCTCAGGTCCATGTCACAACTTTTAATAATGTCAAAGAAGTATTCATTCTAAATGTTTGGGTTGTTCAAATATTGTTAATGATAGTTTGTCTTTTGTCCCTTTTCTGGCCTGGTCTCAATTATAAGGTTAGAACAAACAGAAATCATAATAAGCATAAATGACCTTTTTATGTACTAGGTTGGATGTTTTTGCATGTACATCAAATGAACTTATCAAAGAAATGACATTTTTTTATCAGCATTATTAAAGAAATGACATCAAATTAACATACTTCTTATAATTTGGGCAGTTTGAGGTTTAGTGATGACAAATCCATTTTGGTTTCCTCTGCTTAAGTAGATCAGAATAAGCAAAAACTAATAATATGTAAGGTAAGATACCTTATGTGAGGATGAATAAAAAAAAGTACTTTATTTGTGAGGTGGGTTGGGCATTCATCTGTGGTACTTGTGATGTTATCAGTTCAATAAGGTTTTGTAGTTAATTGACAAATCACACTTGTTCTTGTGGAGTTCCATCATGCATCTCAATTGAACATGTTGAAATCTATTCTTTTCCCTTCTATTTGGGAGGGGTTGATAAGGTGAATTGTTTCTGCATGTCTCTAATATCATAATATAATATATTCATATATTAAACAAAAATATGTGATAGATGAGAATTATTGACTAAAAATGTAAAAAAGAGAGAACAAATATCTGACCGTGACCCAATGACAGTCAAATGGTTAAGTAGTTCAACCGGCGTGTTGCTTGGTCTGGCTTTTTGGTACTGAACAGTGGACCTGGAAATCTGGCTGGGTGACAGGTCAACTGGTCTGGCCAGCTGGTATGACCACAGGTTGAAATCATTAATGTACAGTTTAGATCTTTGGAAAAGAGGTGATATTGATCCAAGGAAGAGATGCCAGATCTCTTCTTGTACTTGTGGTAACTGGAGTCTCAGAGACATCTCCATAATATATTGGCAGGAACACAGATGTGAAGAATAAGCAGCCAGCTGGACAGATGACTATTTTCTACTGTGGCAAGGTGAACGTCTATGATGATGTTCCCATTGAAAAGGTAATTCAGCTCGTTCTTTTGCATGGATACCTGGAGATAAATCTTATAGAATGTTGGCCTTCCAATTGGTCCAAATGATCGATTTGCAGGCACAAGCAATCATGCAACTTGCAGCAAGTCCCATCTGTCTGCCTCAGGATACTGCATCTGCTGGAATTAGAGCAATTTGGCAGTTTCCTTTCCATTTCCAGGCAACATGTGTCAAACCAGGAACACCTCCCACAGCAATCCCTTCAACCCTGCACAGTGGTAAGGCTTCTGAAGGAATAAAATCCTTCTTCATTGGTTATCAAAAAAAGAAAAAATCCTTCATCAGTGTTAGACTTAACTGAGAATTTACTTTGCTACTCATAAGCTACCACATCAATGGGTTTTGGGGTTCCAAAATGGGGGAAAATGCAATGCTTAATTGTTAGTGCCTTTACGGTTTAAATAATATAATTTTCTGAGGGTCTGACCTTAATGCTCATTAACCTCTCATTTTTTTTTTTTTTGGTAATATCTCTCCTTTTTTCTTGAACAGCAAAAATAGTGGAAAATTCTGGACAGCATAGGGAAGAAGAAAACATGTTTCGCCAAGCTGAACCTGGTAAGTGTTTTCACTCTTCATTTTTTTCTCTTGGAATTTCTCAAATACGGTTCTGCCTCTGCAGAGGATGATATCTCATAATTTGTGCTAAAAAATATTATACTTTACTGGGTCACGTTTTGTAGGTAGCTTAAGTTCTAGCACTAGATTCCAGTTTTAGTCAGGGACTTAAAATGGGTCATATTATCTTCACTCTTCAGTCAGGGACTTGAAGAAAATGAACTAAGATGCACTTTTAGATTTGTCCGTCTGACTGAAACTGCAATGAAACTTTGACCATTATCTTTTAGGCTGAAGAAAAATTGCAGTGGAGATTTCTCAGGGAGCAAGGTTTTTTTTTTTTTGGTAAGAAGGGGAGCAAGGGTTGAATCAGTTAAATTTGAAGTTGGATTTCTGCTTTTTAATTTCAGTATACAAACTAAACAAAAGAGCACCCTTCTTTCCTTCTTTGCATTTTTGTTCATGTGTCATCAGGGATTCTGAGTTGGCATGAACACATTTCTGTATTGCACCAGTCATTTAGCCCGTGCAGGTGGCCTTTTATTTGATCATGCACTGTGTTCTTGATGGATTGAAATTCCATGCTGAAAAAGTCCTCATTGAGTATAACAAAGAAGATGGATTCAAGTGGGTTCAACTTGACCCAGCTTGGGGTCCGATGACTTGTTGCTGCTCGAGTGGGTCTCACTCAACCAAGGCCGGCGGCTCTAGCCCATGCAGCTGGCCTTTTTATTTGACTATGCATCATTTACTTGATGGATTGAAATTCCAAGCTTAAGGAACATAACTTCACAATTAAAACAGAAGAAAGTCTCAGAAGGTACCACTTATCCGAGCTTGTGGTCCAACAGGGGTCTGCTGCTCAAGTAGGTCCCACTTGACACAGGGCAGCAGCCCTAGGCACTGTTTCTTTCGGATACAAAGGAACAAGACTCATGTTTCTAGTGGATACTTTTGGGATACAATTGCCTTGGAAAATAGTTTTGCAGTGTCTACTACTGTTAATTGTTTTTTGTTTTTTTGGGTCTTTTGTCTTCTTTCTTTTCTTATATGGTGGAGCAGATTTTAAGATGTTTCTGTAGTGTTTATATTAAAGTAATTCTTTATGGATTTTATGTTGAGGTAAATGTTATAGCTGAAATTCTTGTTTCCACAAGATTAAATGTAGCCAAAGAGGACAATATCCCCGGCCAATCAGCCATATATCTAGATGAATGTCTTTTCAATTGAAAAGCTGTTCTCTCGAAGTTCATGCTTGCATATGTTTGTAGGTTGTGTAGCTTCATGATGTTTATGTTGAGGCTCAATCATAACCTAGCTGAAGAGGGGATGGGGAGCTCCTCATTTTTTTATGCTTTAAATTTTACCTTTTCTTCTATCTTCCATCCTTTTGTTTGGAGTTAATGTTTTTTTTTTCTCCATACTTTGTGGTTAGGGAAAAACTCCAATTCCTATTCTGTTTACTCTGTTCAACCACACCAAATTTTTCTTTGTTCTTCCAAAGTTGCACCCACTAGCAACTTTGGTTCAGATACTTGTACATAAACCCTAGATTTTGATATTTATCAGACTTTTAACTTTGCTATAACAAATTGATCTCAAAGGCATGAGGGACGATTTGAGTTTCGGTACTTTAGGATTGCTGAAGAAGCTGCTATATTGTAATTCATTAAAAATGGCGTGGCTTCTGATGATGTAGCAAGAATAACAAATTCATACTCTGATGGCTTTCTTTTTCGTTACAGAGGGCCCAACGAGTAGAAAAGCATCATTGCAAAGGTACCTTGAGAAGCGAAAAGACAGGTATGGTTCAAAGGGCTGAAATGTTCTTAATGTGAACACAAAACAACCCAATATCTTGCCCGATTGAAATGCCTTCAACCCGCCATTGTCGATCATTTTCCTTTTTCGTCTTTTTTCTTTTTTGGGGTTCTTCCTCTCGCCTCCCTGTTAAGAGGAAGATTTAAGAGCCGGAGAAAAGATGAGATTATCTTCTAGCTTTGAGATGTACGAGTACTTGTACCATCAAGTGAGGTCCCTCGGACCCCAAATGGGCTGTCAAGCCGAAGCGTCGTACAAGTTCACCACCCTAAACCCGACTGCTTCAAATTCCTATCCAATATAGTCCGGTTGTTAACCAGGTCCAGAATGTATGTTGATGATCTCAATGACAATGGTAAGCTATCAAGTCTTTTTGATACATTTTTTATGTTTTCGGTGAACAGACTTAAATGATTATGATCCTCCACTCATGCGTTATCACGAGGTATGTTCTCCTATACTAGTCTTCATTAGTGGGGCTTATACGAATATCATATTATCTCAACCCACTGACAGAAACCACACCCCGCAAGGTAGGTCGTAGTGAAATGGCCAAAATCCGGTGCGGTGAAAGTTGTTCTTCGCTCGCTTTTAAGAACAAGAGTTTCAGTCAAAGAACAACGATACATAAGCTTTCAAAAGAAATTAAGCTATATAAAAGTATTTGTTCTGTAAAGTATAATTTATTGTGAATCTTATAATGAAAGAACTTGTGATTGTGTGTGTGTTTCTTTAAATGACTCAAGTGTTTGCATTTTAAGCTCAGTTTGGAAGGAGTATAAATACAAATTTGTAGAGCACAAAACCTTGTATTTTGTATTTATTTGTACTGTACATACTTGATTTGTATTTTGAACTCCTTCCAAACTGAGCCTTGGTACCAAAAAAACTGATTGGGTGTAGGGATGCAACTTGGGCGGGTCCAGCCCGATCCTGAACCGGTCCGACCCGGAATTTTAAATAGGCTGGGCTTGGATTTTTGGTTCTCAGGCTGGGCTGTGCTGGGGCCCAAGAAGTCAGGTTTTTTATTTTTCGGGCCGGGCTTGGGCCTAGCCCTTAGGTATCCTGAACACGGCTCGAGCCCAGTCCAATTATATACATTTATACATGTGTATATACGTAAATGTTGCATACATACATATGTATGCAACATACATATTTACGTATGTATGCATATATATTTGTATATATAACATTTGTATAGATATTTTGCATGCATATTTACATGCACCAATGGGGTGCATATTTAGATAAAAGCAATAAATACACCAATGGGGTGCAATTGAGCTCAGTCGAGTCGAGCTGAACTTTGGCATGTCTTGGCTCAGCTCAATACTATTAGGTTCAAGTTTGAGTTCAAATTCAGTTCTAATTATATTTTTTTTTGGTTCAAGCTCTTTTTGATTATATATTTGATGAGCTCAAGTTTGGATCAAAAGCTCGAAAATGAGTATATTTTTATATTTTGTAATTATATAATATTTTTATAATATATAGGATATTCTTATATTATATATAGAATATAAAAATATAGTTTCATAGAATATATTTTTTATATTCTATAATATATACGTAAGTAACTATGTATGCATGTATGTGTTAATCAAGTCAGGCTTGCAAGCTTTCGAGCTAAACTTTTTATTGGTCAAAGTTTGAATTCGAATAACTAATCGAGCTTACGCTAAGGTTTGAACTCGATTTAAGCTCGATTAGAATCAAACTCGAACCCAAACTATTCAGCTGCAACCTTATCTGCTAATACACCATGTTTCATTTATTTATCTTTATCACATGGGTTTTGATTAGAAACGTTTTTTTGTTTTGATAAATGATTAAAAACTATTATTGAAATTGCAATATTTACTCGTAATATATAAAGGTCTCTTGATTTTTATTATAAGATAATTTTGGTTAAAACACTTGTTTTATTGACATAATAATTTTTAAGTAGAGTAAAAAAATCTTTAAAAAATTAAGTTTTATATTGTTATCATCATACAATTATAGACTATAAGCATAATAGAGACAGATCCAATTGTCCTGATTTTCTAGGTTTGTCAGATGGAGACATTGATAACATGTTCAGGACTAATCTGTCCTGACCCTACACATTGATACTCTAACCATGACCTTGTTCTTTTACGTATGATAAATACTAAATCACTGAATTGGATCCCCTAACTTTACTATTTTAATATCGAAGTGAAAGAAACAGGTCAATCAAAACCTACCCTAATCATAAATGGCACAGCAATTGAAATGATCATTGCGCATCCCTCCAAATAAGAGGTGTGCAATCAAAACCGCAGTTAGATTCAAAGTATTAATATAATATGTCGCATATCTAACCACCTACAAAAAGCCTTTTAAGTATCTAGGATATTGGTGGATGCGCTCTAATTAATTTTTGTGCGATTTGTCGATTCTTGGACCAAGGTCGATGGCCTAGGTAAATGAACTGTGGAAACTGGAAACCATTATCCTTCTGTTTCTTCAGGTTTACTTTGAGAAGTTGAAAACAAAGACCGTCAACTTGTCTCTTTTATCATATTCGGATGTTCTATATTTCTTATTTAAAAAAGCAATTAAGATTGATATTGGCCAATTTAAGAAATTTTTTACAAAAAAAAAATATAATAATAATATCAAGGGCAAATTACCTTTCTGGTTTAGTAAATGGACATAAACCTAGTCTACTGTTTAAGAAATTATTTAATGTACCCCAAACATTTCTGGCAATAGACACAATCACCCTTTACCGTCAGTTTGCCATTAAAATCTGCTAGCATGTGATTCTACGTGATACTTTTATTTTTCAAAACTACCCTTTTATGGTCCAAAATACCCTTTCACTTTTGATGTCATCTTCTCTAAGACTAGATTGGGGTCATCTTCTCAATTGTGTTTTATTCTTGTTTTTATTATTAATAAATTCTGTAATTTCTTCAAATCTGTAAATTCTTTACTGGGGTTTCTTCAAATATGTAATTTCTTGAAACAAGAATAACAAGAAACCGCAATGGGGTTTCTTCAAATCTGTAATTTTACATTATTCATACTTGTACTACTCGCCAAGAGTAGGTTCTGAGGGCATCTACTGCTATCGCTGTGAACCCTCCGTCGAGTTTAATTCAAACCCTAATGGTAAGGGTGGAGATAAGAATTATAATTCTACCCTTCCAGAGATCAGTGAACTCGAAAACTGAATTGATCAACCAATTCTGGAGTAGAATGCAGCGATTAAGGAGCTATGGAACTCTTGTTCTGCTGTTAAGGGTACTCAGATTGATTTGGTTTGATAAAAAATTTCAGCAACACCGGGTTTGGGGCTTTCTGCCACATCAGTCATCTGCATATAAGCCATCTTCCGCCACCTTTCACACAGCATCAAATATCAAAGAACAGCGATACTATCAAGTCTTGATTGGGTTCTTGGCAGTTCTGATGCCATCGAATATCGCAAAGCAGCGATACCCAAGAACCATCAAGTCCCGATTTGGTTCTTGGCAGTTTTGATGGCGCCCATCTGTCAGCTAGAGTTGTGTCAGCCACCAATGCTGTTTGCGTCTATGTTGTTGCAACCAACGTCTCAGAGTGAGAAAAACAGTGGCCACAACAATGGCATGTCAATCATGATCTGCAGCTTGCTCGTCCCAACCCTCGATCACAAGCCCTGTTTTTCATCACTGAGCTCCTGCATCTCTACTTTCTAAATGCCTGAATGGTAGTAGCCATTGCAACAACATCCTCTACATATTTCTGCCATTAAAGTGAAACAAATGAGTCAAAGATCCTCTAATTTCTATTAATTCTTGGAAGGCGCCCAGAAATTTAAAACCAAAATCTCTTGTTGTAAGGTTTTTCCAATTGTACATCCTTCCAGTAGATTTGGTCTAAGCATTAAGTTGGTTAGAGATTTGTTATGGTGTTAGGCATACCTTATTATATTTATGATGTTTGGAGCCTTCAGAGGGGAAAAATGATAACGCACTTTTCCTTCTCTATGGTTGCCGGGATTTGCAACAGTCACCAGAGATCTCAACAGTCACCCAAGATTTTGTTGGGATATGCAGCAGTCACTTTTTCTATTGTGTTTTTTTTTCTCTTTAGATATATTTCATAATTTTTACTTCTTTACTTAACGGAAAGACATCATGATCATTTTATCTCTTCTGTCAAGATTTTAATGGTTTTGTCTATTGTCAGAAATGTTCAGGGTACTTTAAATAATTTCTTAAACAGTAGAATAGGTTTAAATATATAACCCTAATAATAATGGTTGGCTCAATATAATTTTTTTTTTCTGGGCACTTGACTCAATTAATTGCATTCTTG